TGAGGGGGAGTGTTGAGATTGCTTAGATAGGGGTGTTTTTGGAACTTTTTCTCTTCCTTGTACTCTTTCCGAGGGTGTGAATAATAACAAGAACACACATCTCGACACTTCTCCTCTTGCTTTCTCTCTTCTAAACCTAGTTTTAACTTTTGTTTGTCAACTAAATGTAATGTCCCAAGTTTGTTATTTTTCATATTTCTTCTACTAATGGATTTTTTTCTTTTTAATAATAATATTAATATTAATAATATGGATATGTGTGAAATGTTTATAATTGTAAGTTGATTAGTTAATATTTTATTTGATGCTTAAATGTTGAAACTTATTGGTTATAAACTTATAGTTTATGGATATGTGTATTTTCTATCATTTTAATTTGGCATATTATATGTTATTTTCATCAATCTCTTAAACTTTGAGGGTTACGCCTTGTAATGCCTTGAGGCTTATGCCTCACCTTTTTGGGCCATTATGCCTCAACTACGCCTTTAGCCTTTTAAAACATTGGCAGTGTGGAACAGTTGAAAGTCAGGTTAGTGGCCAAAGGCTATTCTCAGTTGTATGTTGTTGACTATATGGAGACATTCTCTCCTGTGGCTAAGATTGGTTTAGTACGGTGTTGATTTCTTTAGCAACAATGTATGATTGGCCCCTCTTCAGCTTGACATCAAGAATGCCTTCTTACATGGTAATCTTGTTGGGGAGGTATATATGGAGCAACCACCAAGATTTGTTGCTAAGGGGGAGGATGATAAAGTTTGCAGACTTAAGAAGGTGATTTATGGGTTAAAACAATATTCACGTGCGTGGTTTGGTAGATTCAGTGAAGTAGTGAAGAACTTTGGCATGAAACAGTGCCAGGTAGACCATTCTGTGTTTAGTTATGAATCAGAAGCTGGGAAGATTTTGTTAGTGGTGTATGTGGATGAAATTGTCATAACTGGTAGTGATAGCAATGAGATTGACAGGTTGAAGAACTTTCTACATGGTCACTTCTAAACAAAAGATTTGGGCAAATAGAAATATTTTTTGGGAGTAAAAATTGAGCCCTAGGTGTTAACCCGAAGGAAAGTAGGTTTTGGAACCCAATTATAGAAAGATGTAAAAGGAGATTGGCTGCTTGGAAGAGAAGTTACATCTCTTTGGGAGGTAGGATCACGCTGATAAAATCAACTCTGGCTAACCTACCCATCTACTTTCTCTCTATCTTTAGGATTCCACCAAGAGAAGAAAAGAAATTAGAAAAAATTATGAGGGATTTCCTTTGAGAGCCAGGAGAGACTAGAAAGGACCACTTAATAAAATGGGAGGTCGTGTGTAAAAGAAAGGAAGAAGGTGGTTTAGGTCTAAGGAATGTAAGGAAGAAGAATATAGTTCTGTTAGGGAAATGGTTATGGAGATATCCTCTTGAGAGAGAATTTGTGGGTTGAAGTAGTGGCAAGTATACATGGTAGATTGGAGAATGGCTGGGACGCTGGTGTATCGCGTAGGGCTACCTTGATAGCACCTTGGAAAGCAATTCATAGACTCCTCCCTTAGTTTCTCAGGTACATCAGGTATGATGTTGGCTCAGGGAATTTAATTCGTTTCTGGGAAGACACTTAGTTTGGTGATCGGCCTTTAAAGGAGGTTTTTCCTTCTTTGTATTCTATTTCGTTGTATAAAAATAAGGTCATTTCAAATTTTTTGGTTCTTCCTTCTTTGCCTTTGAGTCTTAATTGGGATCTCGGATTTTGTAGGGGTTTGAGGGATGAGGAAGCAACTTGTTTGTCAGAGCTTCTCCTTCTCCTTGATAGTGTTTGCTTAGAGCTTTCTTGTCTAAATAGAAGAATTTGGTTCTCAAGCTCTAAAGGTTCCTTTTCTTGTTCCTCCTTTTTTAAAGCTCTTTGTCAATCCTCTTCCTCTTTGCCCTTTCCTTGGAAAGAAGTCTGGTTTCTATTGATTCCCCCTAAAATTCAAGCCTTCTATTGGGAAGTGGCTCTTGGGAAAATTAACACTCAGGATTATTTGCAAAAGAAGAGGCCTTTTCTGTGTATTTCCCCAAATTGGTGCACTCTATTGCGAATCTGATGGTGAATCTTGTTACCATTTACCAATTTCCTGTTCATTTGCTACAGATATATGGGATTGGTTTTTCTCTTTGTTTGGATGTAGGTGGAATATGCCAATGGAGATAAAAATGCTGTTTGACCTATCTACCTTTGTGTTACCGAAGAAGAGGGGAAGAGTAATGTGGAGGTACACTAGAGTAGCAGTGGTGTGGACCTTGTGGGAAGAGAGAAATGCCAGAATCTTCCAAGAGAAAGAAAGGAGCAAATGACAAATTGTGGAGTGTGTAATGACTAGGGACATACACTAGCTACAAATAATGGAACTATTCAAAAATTTCACATTTGATGATATTTGGAGGAATTGACCTTTAGTGGCTTCTAGCTCAATGCAGAAGATTAAGGCAAGGTTGGCATGGGCTCCTCCCATCGAAGGATTTCTCAAATTAAACTTTGATGGGAGTAGTCAAGGCAACCCTGGCCCAGCTAGAATAGGAGGGGTTATCAGAGACAATGAAGGAAACTTAAGAGCACTCTTCTCAGGACCAGTGGGGAATGGAGACTCCTTAAAGGCAGAATTGTGCACAGCCCTACAAGGTGTACAGATTGCAAGAGAGTTAGGATTGGAAAATTTGGTAATAGAAGGGGACTCCAAGGTGGTGGTGTGTTGGCTAAAAAAACCCGGATTCAGTGATCTAGGCTTACAGAAATGAACTGAAGAAATTCAAATGGTTAACTCAGCAGATGGAGGTAACAATACAGTGGGTGGGGAGGGAGGCAAATGCTTTTGTTGATTCTCTAGCTAAACAAGGGGTAACTAGGGAACAATTGTACTGGGCCCAATTGTAACTTTATGTTGTTTTTGTATCAATGAGTGAGGCTACACCTTGCACCTCATATTGGGATGCTTGCAACGAACTATTTATCATTTGCTTCTAATGAAATCAATTGAATCTTATCTATCAAACAAAAAAAGTTGCAAGGTCAAGACATAGTGTTAACTTGTGTCAAAGAAAGTATGTCCTTGATTTACTTGAAGAAACAATGTTGTTGGGTGCCAAACCAGCTGAAACACCCATGGAACCAAATGTCAAGTTGAGCATTGATGCAAGTGAAGAGTTTGATGATCCTAGAAGGTACAGGAGGTTGGTGGGTAAATTGAACTACTTGATTATTACTTGGCCAAATATATCATTTTCAATAAGTATGGTGAGTCAGTTTATGCAACATTCTCGAGGTCCACATTGGGAGGCAGTTCCAAGAATTGTTTTGTACTTAAAGGGAGCTCCAGGTCGTGGACTGTTATACAAGAGTGGAGGAACTCTTGAGATAGAGGGGTACGCAAATGCCTGATTGGACAGGATTTGTGTCCGGCAAGAGATCCACTACAGGGCATTGTACTTTCATTGGTGGCAATCTAGTGACTTGGAAAAGCAAGAAACAAACTGCAGTAGCCAGAAGTAGTGTTGAAGCTGAATTCAGGGCCATGGCTCATACTACATGTGAACTAGTGGCTGAAAAATCTTTTGCAGGAGATGGGGTTCTCAATTGACAGACCTATGAGGTTGTATTGTAATAACCAAGCTGCAATCCACATTTCTTCTAATCCAATCTTTCACGAGAGAACAAAGCATATTGAAGTTGACTGCCATTTTGTAAGAGAAAAAGTGATCAGTGGAGTGATAAATACAGTTCATGTGAGTTTAGGAAACTAGTGGGCAGATTTGTTTACAAAAGGGTTGAGTCGGGGAAGAGTGGATTACATATGTAACAAGTTGGGACTATATGATATATACTCTCCAGCTCGAGGGGGAGTGTTAGAATCGACAATACAAGGGTAGTTTGGTCATTTGTCTATTTAATTAAGGATGAGTTGTCTATTTTGTCTGGGTTTAAGTTGTGTCCCATATTTAATGAGGGAAAGATTTGTCTTTTGTAGTCTAATGCAAAGAGTATAAATATAAGGTGGGAGCTGGGAGGGATGGACTTTTCCTCTTCTCAGACCGAACCCTTTCATTTTCTCCTCTCTTCTCTCTTCTTCTTCTTCTTCTTCTTCTTCTTCTTCTTCTTCTTTCTTTCTTTCCTTCTTACTTATCTCAGACCTAGGACTGAACTAGTGTTAATTGAATCATTCACACATGCAGAATAAATGGATACTATATATATATTTCTAGTGTCTTATTTGTGAATTATAAATTTTTCTATTAACTAGATGAAAGATTAAGTATTATTTTTCCTTTTCAAGTTATTCTGTGAGTTATGCTGGAATATAATTGAGGTATGATTGTTCACATTTGCATTGGATGAGCTTGGTGGGTTAAAAACTAGTGTCTTTGAACATGACCAGAGAATGTAGTTAAGCACTAATATATTTTCCTGTTATTCATGATCAAAAGTTTCTGTGGATTGGGTACTTGGGGGGAAAAAAGAACAGGGTATTTTGTGTTAACTAATGTAGATCCTTTTGATTCTGATAACTAGGGTATTTATGCTATGAGCTGTTGCATGTATCTGAATTTCATTAAAAAATATTGTGTTGTGTTCCATTATACACTCTAGCTGTTAAAACTGGGATCTTGGTAGTATTTAGGTTTCTTTTAAAGATGAGGTGGAATGTCATCTAGTTAGATGATTAGATATATGAGAATGGAGGAATTACTTGGGGTCCAGATGTTGCTTATTTTTTTCCGATAATTTTGGCTTCCAGTTGAATCTTCAGTGTAATGTAAAACATGTGTTACTGCTAGTTCATTCTATTATTCCTTCCTACGTATTATTCTTTCATATTTTGAATGCCTAATTTGAAGCTTGACGAGTATTCTAAATTGGAGTTATTCTGAAATTCTGTTGCTTGCTTCGTTGACATTCCATGACTGGGAGATTTACCTGCAAAAGTCTTTATTCTCCTGGGGAATTCTTTACAACCTTCTGATTAAATCGTCTGAATCACAGGCCAACCCTGAATACTTGAAGGAATCAACAATAGTCCTACCAGTTCAGATAAATGGCAAGACAAGGGGTACCATAAAGGTTGAGGAGGGATGTTCGGAAGAGGAAGCTTTCAGATTGGCATCATTAGATGAGAAGCTCTCTAAATATTTGGTTGAAAAGACAATCAAAAAGAGAATATATGTTCCAGGTAGAATCTTGAATGTTATCCTAGACAAGCAAAATGTTAAGGTAGGGAGCAGGTAACCTTGCCCTTACCTCACTGGTTTTGACTTTTGAGGCGAGCTTGTGTATTCTTTTCAAGTGTGGAGGAAATAGATCATTGAACAGTGTATTGGGCCAAATTAGCATGTACAGCACACATCAATGAAATTGGGAAAACGATATGAATGATATTACTGTTGCGATGTTGCAGTACAAAATTCAATACGGTTTTCAAGCTTTTCACAATCAGTGGCGGGTAATGATACTTGCTTCTTCAAGTGTACATGTGAAATTGGGATTGATCTTCCAACTTAACTGAACGTTACTTGTAGTTGCAACTTGCAAGTGCAGTCATGTGATTACAGTTTGATTGTTGGACTGGTTTCCATCTTACCTACCAAAACAGAGGGAAAGTGTTAGAAAACGGAGTGTCTGAGGGATGATCGCCAATATATATGATTTTGTTTTTCAAAACTATGGTATATTTTGAATACTTGATGCATTGTAATCTAATCACGTTAAAAACTTCACAAGGTTTATTTTTCATTCAATCATATTTTATATTTTACAAGGTGAATCAGTCTATTTTTAATACTGATGTATTGTTTTATCACTAATTGAAGTTATTTATTTCTTTATTTGCTTTACACTTGGTTTTGCTGATTACAGCCTTTTGTTTCAAGGAAAACTATGCTGTCGAAAAGACATGATATCAAAAGGGCTTTGACTAATATTCAGTATCATGTCGTTCAGGTACAAGTATCATGGTTGAACTCGTTTTGAAGCATTTTTGGTATCAAATCTTTCCATTTGTTTTTGTTTGATTTCATGCATAGAATCCATCGCACAAAACATGGTTTCAGAACTTTAGCTCATTTTCTTACTACCATTAAACTTCTTATAACCCCACCTGATCGGAATGGTAGCATATAGTCGTTCTGACATCCACAGAATTAAAAGAAGTTAAAGTTATGGGACCCACCAAAGCTCTTAATTGAAAATCGGTTGCACATGGGAATGATCCATGATTCGTGATTCATCGTATGAATCTGCTTTACCCTTGCACCCACCTATTCTTTCCTTCCTTCCTTCCTTGGTGCGGGGAATATTCATCTATTTTTGTCCTTATCAGGTGATTGCTTCGTTGATGAATCCAACCTTTTGCAAACTAGGCAATTCCTTCTTCCTTTAGGCCCATACATCCAACATATGAAATTCCAAGGACATTCACACGAATTGCCTCTTTTAACCATTAGATCGGTTTAGATGAACACATTTACAAGAGGAGCTATAGATGTTATGTAGATTCCAATCTGAAGTTTATTAATGATGTCCCTCCTATGATTTACTCTTTGGTAGGATTTTAATAATCCGCCTCATGTCATCCTCAAAGTTTGCTTCACTTCAAATCAAAAAGTCACATAATACCTACATTAAACCACTCACGTTTCAGACTTTCTCACCAACTAAAAGTTTTTCTAAACTAAATCTCTCTCTCTCTCTCCACGCAAATCCTGATCTGGAAGGGAAACTTACCTAAAACCCAGGTACGTGAAGGTGGAGGAAAAGAAAAACTCTGCTAGAAATTAAATAATTTAGATATATATGAACTACTAAATTTAGCTAATCATTGATTTACTTAAATAACAAAGGTGAACATTTATTAATTATAATTAGTAAATTTCTTAATTACTCGGATTGATACATTAAGCTTAATGTATTAGATATATAAATTTGTTTGACGTAAGTGAACCAATAAAGTTTAAATTAGAAAATTACTTAAATTACTAAATTACTTAATCTACTTAAATTATTGAATTAGAAAATTACTTAAACTAGTGAATTTCTTAAAATTAATTACTTAGTAAAGTTAGTTAACAATAACATTAATAATTACTTAAATTGCTAGAAGTTAGTATATTAGTAAAATGTTAATAATTAGTAAAATTTATGGTAAATAGTACATTATTAAATTAGTAAATTAGAACATTAATAAATCAGTAAGGTTACTATAAATTACTAAGTTAGAAAATTAGTAAACTAATAAAGTTATCATAAATTACTTAAATTACTAGAATAGAAATAGAAAGTTAGTAAAATTATTTAATAATTTACTAATAAAGTTACTATTTTAAGTAAATAAGTAAAATTAGTAAATTAGAATAATGGTTATTCCAATTGGGACAAACCTCAATTAGAAATGGTATACGTTGATGGTATACTTTGGTATTTTGAAGATGGTCAAGAAGCCTCCCAGGGGTAGCTATTAACAGATTTACTCCTTTCATGGGGCTTTCTGCTTCTTCCCTCTGAGCTGCACCACTATTGATCATTCCAACAGTTTGTGTGGTATTTGAGAATTTCATTTGCAACAACATGTTGCAAATGACAAGGTTCTTTCCAACACCGGTCCTTCTAGCTACAAGAACAAATAACCCCTCCCTCATTCTAAATATTTTCCTTCTTCTTGATTGATAGTTCTTTGCCTATTTGAGCGTTTATTTTTTATTTTTTATTCCTCTTGCAAAAGTAGAGCCTTATAATTGGTCTTTATGATTTATGAGTAAATTCTGTTTTTTGTTTTTTAATAAATTTATTTATTTGAAAATGACAAGAGCTAAAAAAGAATATTAAAATCCATGGAAAAACATATTTCAGGTAATGGTTCTAACCAATGGTGGATTTGGGACTAAGGGTGGAAACAAATTGAGCCTTTCACGAGCTATTTTTGATCAACTCATGAAAAAAGCTCGATCTGACTTGGTATAAACCGAGCTTTAAGCCAAACTCAAGTTCAACATATAAAGTCATTTTCTAATATAGCTCTGCTTGTAAAGCTCACAAGCCTAATCGAGCATATATATATATATATATAATAAAAAAATATTTTTATATTTATAATTTTTTAATTTTATAAGAAGCTCGACTCTCTAGCTTGAATTGAAATAGAGCTCGAGCCTCATGGCTTTTTGGCGAATTGAGGTTGATAGCCAAATATTTGGCTGATCTCGGCTCAAATCCACCCCTATTTGGGACTTTGTTCATCATTGCTCTGGTTTAATCTCAAGGAAGAATACAATGAATAGTGTCTTCTTTTAAGGGGTAATTTTGGATTTTTAAAATGTTCCAAATAACATGTGATATCATGTGCGTTAGATATTGACAAAATGCTTATGGTGGGGCCTAACTAGTAGTTTTTAGGAGTTCAGGTATTGCATTGTCATGTTTTAAATTTTGAGTACTAAAGTGAGACTAGCCCCAGAGTATAGGGTACTAATCTACAATTTACCCTTAAAATAATACTATTATGTACATTCAATTACCTCTAAGTCTCATATTTAAGGCATTGAATAAATCTCATTCTCCATCTCATTGAATTCAACATTTAAGTTACTTTTATTTCTTATCATTTTTTTGAAAACCTCTTTTTCATCAATAAATTCCATTAATAAATCTATACACAATAACATCAATAGAAATGGAATTTTATATTTTTAAAATAAACCTAGAAATGAAACCATATGTTCTATCTAGGTGGTGGGTAAGCAGTTCAACCATATGGATCAAATGGATAATTTCAGGATGTCATAAATAAATAATAAACATTTAGAAATATAAAAGATACAAAAAATATAGAAATAAAAGAAATTGGTAACAAAATTAGACACATTTTATTATTATATAGGGAAAATTCCCAATTAGTACTTGTACTTTGGGTCTAGTTCCATTTTGGTCTCCAAACTTTAAAACGGAATAATTCAGTACCCATACTTTCAAAATGTGCCAATCTAGTACCTATTGTTAATCAACCTGTTAACTAGCCATTAAGTGGCATTTAAAAAGGACAAATGCCCTTCGAGTGTCATCTAATCCTCTTTATCAACCATTGTTGACAAAAAAATGAATAATCCCAAATTAATACATCTTCTATTCAAGAAAGTTGGGGTCACATCTTAATGGGCATTCTGGTGACCTCAACTTTCTTGAATAGAAGAGACAAATATTTGGGATTGACTATTTTTTATCAACGTTTTAATGGTTGATAAAGAAAATTAGATGATACTCGAAGGACATTTGTGCCTTTTCAAATGCCACTTTAAGAGTTAGTTAACATATTAGTTAACGATAGGTATTAAATTGGCACATTTTGAAAGTTTAGATATTGAATTGTCATCGTTTTAAAGTTCGAGGACCAAAGTGGCACTAAACCCAAAGTACATGGTACTAATTGGAAATTTTCCCTATTATATATCTATCATATACCTGTCATATTAAAAAATATATATATGATAAAATATATGTAATTTTATTAATGATGAATTTTGAATATACAATTAAGGGGTGGCTTAGTGGTTTAACCTTTTTAGTCAAATAGTCAAATAAATTATAGAACAATTTTTCACATATCTTAAAAAATAATTAAAATAAATAAGAGTTATTTTTATGAATGATATAAATAAAATACAAACTTTAAGAAATGAAACCATTTTAACTTTATAGGTCAAATGAATCAATCTAACATTTCATAATTAATATATATATATTCAAGGCGGCCTCGACAATGCCGGATTTATCCCAAACCCGCCCCGATTAATTAATTCCTCCCGATGTAATAATTTTTTTTTCTGATAGGCCCACATTGTAATGAATTGGGTGGAATAAAAAACCCATCACGGTAGCGTCTTCTTCATTTCATTGTCCGGATACGACCAGCAGCGGCGGAAATCCCCTAAAACCTGACCTTTTCTCCCTCCTTTTCCTTCGTTTTTTTTTTTTTTTCTGCTTTCCCATTTTTATTCTTTCCTTCAATCTTTATTCTCTTCTTCAAATCCCCATTCCCTGTTTCTTTTCCACAAACCAGATCTGAATCGTCACCCTCCTTTCCTCTCTCTATTCCTCCCTCACCTTCTCTTTCCTCGTTTTGCCCTCCTTTTCTTTTCGCTCTCCTCCCTACTTGCTGATGCAATAAGTGTGAAAACAGAGCATCTTCGCCATTGCTGAACTGAGTCCGCACTATCGCCACCAATTGGACGGTTCGAATCCTCTCTTCTTGGCTCTTCCTTTGAAACGAGACCTGAATTTTGGGAGTTCCTGGTAGGATACATCAGCGACGGTAATCTCTTCGATAATCTTCATTAGCTCGGTTCACTGTGCTCATATTACCATCTACACTCAGCCATTGATTCCAAGGTTACATAATAAGGAGGTATGCTCCTCCTTTGAGTTATTGTGCTGTCCTTGCTATGATCTTAGTTCGGGTCGTCGTGATATCGTTGCCTCGGTTTTCTTTGTAATGTTTGGTTACGGCAATTTGTTCTTGCTTAACGTTTTAGTTTCTGTTTAAGTTACCAATTCATATTTCGAATTGGTGGAGGTAAGAAGAATGATTGGGTCGCTTAGTTAATTGATGTCTCTATTAATTCTTTTTTATTTTTTTTTGTCTTTTTTTTGCTTTGTTTATTGTATCATGTCCATGCCACGAATCCTCATCTTACCATGGTTGTTGCGTTATGCCATGATTTTCTTAAATTGTAATATCCATCAATGCTAATGCCAAGGGTGTTCAACCATTTTCGTATTGCAAAATGAATCCTGTTATACAGGCTGTGTGATGATTTTTTGCTTTCTTCTGATATTTGATCATTTATCTGTCTTTGTATTGCTCTGTCAAGTGATTTGAACCTGACATTTTCTGGAATTGAGTGGTTCAGTGTGTCATTTCCCCTGGTTATGCTGTGCTGTTATATGGCCTATTGGTCTGAAAGGTAAGCTTGCTGCATGCATTTTACGTTCTAGGATGTTTCTGAGTTCTGACCCTATGGACCCTGTTTCTATCGCATGAGGTGTCTAGGGTATTAATCCTCATCTGTTAAAATAATGCTGGAATTCTAATATTGTCTTGTAGAATCATTCTAGAGTGTCATTTCTTATGATAATTATGTTTAAATCAAAGTATTCCTGCTCATCTTATTTGTTTCATGACACCATCTAGGTTTCACTTTTTAGGACGCTCTTCAACTTATCTTTTAGTTGATTTTAATCTATGTTAGTAAGCTTGTTTTGTTCTTTTTTTTTTTTTTTTTTTTTTTCTTTTTCCTCTTCATTCTCTTCAAATAAAAGGCTTCATGTTATCATCTTAGTATCAGTCAAAGATTTTTCTTCCTTAGATCATTAAGCAGTTCGTATCAGGCTATTAGTTGTTGTTCTCCCATATCACCAAATAACCTTGATTTGGTGTTTATCATCGAAATTTATTGTGGTAATCTCGATTCATGTTAGTAAGTAATTCATTTATCTGTTCTGTTCTCTCTCATAAAGAGTTTCTTATGTGCTTTTAGATAACCTATTTCGTAGGCTTCGGGATGATCTGTCCTGCCATTCAATAATGGTTATGTAGTGCTGTTAGTAATCTATTTTTTTAGCTAATGGTTCCTAGCTTTAATTTGCATGTATCATTATCATTATGTGTTTTTTTTTCCTTTTTAGTTTAAATGAAATAATTCTTGTTCTTATATGTTCTCTTAACATTAATTAGACTTTATTTTTTATCTTCTGTTAAATGATCTCTGTTATCTAATTATGCAATATTCGTGTTTGGTAATTTCCATCATTGCGTGCTTATTTGCTTTGGGAGCCTCCCCTATGGACCCCACCTATTTGAAATGGGAGAGGGGTGCCTAACCCTTTCCATCTCTCATCCAAGTCTTACTCAGATTGGATAAACCAGTGCCTTGCATATGGAGTTGCTATTGGACCAAATGAATTTTCTATAATCTCCGGAGGGCCCATCACCTCCAACTCAATTCAATGATGGGTGGCGACTCTTTATCAGCCCAAGTGAGCTATTTCCCGATACTCACAGTAATCAAAATTTTAACCAATCATATTAAAGACTTCACAAGGTCTATTTTTCATTTGTACAAAGTTGTTTTTCTTCTTCTTAGTGAGTAATGATCAATTGTTTGAATCCTTTTGATTGATTTGCTAGTGGCGGATATGGATGAGGTGATCACCGCCGCCGATGCGTCATCCAACTCCCGGTCGGTGACATCTCCACCTTCTCTTCTCCCCTCGAATCTTCCACTCCTCTCTGCATTGTTAGCCTTCGCTCTTGCCCAATTTCTGAAGCTTTTCACCACCTGGTTTGTATTATCTTTCATAATTAACCCTATCTCTATTATTTTTTGATTTTTTAATTTTTATTTAAATCTATGCTTGTGTTTCCTTACCATCTAGTTTTTAGGTTGTATGGTTAATTGGACCTATACCAAAGGGAATGCTTGGTGTCACTGTTGTTGTGTTTCAATCAATGAGAAAGTATGACAAAAAAGCCTTGGTTATGGGATTTTTTCTTCTGAATCATGGATATTCTAAGTTCATTATATTATGCATCCGAAGTTGGTCTTAATTCTTAAGAAGAAGCAGTTCCTTGTATCATCCTATGTTAATGAGCTATAACCATTTGTCTGTACTTGTTGCTTTTTATTGAAGGAAAGCCTGTATTAGAATGTTGAAGGGAGAAAGTGAAAGATGAAAGCATGGCTGGAAAGTTTGGAATCTTGAGTAAATAGTGCTTGTCAATCATAAAAAATGCAGTCAGTTAGATTGTTATTATGCCGCTTGGTCTTTAGTTTCTTTCTTTCATGGATAGAAAAACATAAATTTCTTTTTTAGAAAGTGATCTGCTTGTCTATTGTGTGAAAACTTGTAAGAATTTCCTAGTATACTATATTTCTTTATGAATTACTGGCTTAATTTTTCCAAAACATTTCACCTAGATGTGCAGGTTCAAGGAGAAGAGGTGGGATTCTAGAAGATTGCTTGGGTCAGGTGGAATGCCATCATCACACTCAGCAACTGTGACAGCTCTTGCAATGGCTATTGCTTTACAGGACGGGACAGGAGGATCAGCATTTGCTATTGCAGTGGTTTTGGCATCTGTTGTATGTACCTATTAATTGGGTTTTCTTCATTCTTTTATTTGGATATGATTGTTGTTTTATTGATTATTGCCTATTTCCCTGTCACAAGTGCATTTAGAATCCTTTTTTTTTTAAAAAAACAAGTTCATTAAAATAAGTAATTAAGTTTAGGTCAATTTCAAATGAATTCTTGTTTTCTAATATTTTCTTTTCCATTTTCTTATTGATGTTGTTTGCAATCTTTTTTCATGGATTTTGTTAAGGTTTTGAAACTATTTTAACCATTTATTAACAATTAAACCTTGGAAATTTCCTATACTTTGGTAATTAAGTATAGGAAATTTCTTTTATAATTCTGTAACTAGTTTTAAAGGAAAGGTTGCACCTCGTGCCTTTCCATGGGTTGCCGGTAACTCTTATTTGCTGGTTTAATAAAATCTTACTCATTTATAAAAAAAAAGACATTTCCTTCTTTTGCTCAATCCATATTTAATCTAGTGCATTTAGAGCCTTTTTCCAACAATTTTGATCAATGAACTTCTATTTCTAATTAGTACTAGGAATACAACAATGCCAACAGAAAAAGTACTTATGGATTGGATTCATGTCTGATCTATTCCATAAAGCAATTGCTTTATTACATTCATTATGTGATTGTAATTTCTAAATACCTTTACTCCCTTTATGATCTCATAATTTGTTTCTGCTATCTTGCGAGGTGCCAACCAGCAGGTTGGTAAGGTCTCCTATTGGTCGTAGCGGAGACTTGGGATTGAATCCCGCCTGCACCTGGGTTGGAGGATGGATTACCCCCGTTGTGTAGACCTTCCAAAGATATAAAAAAAATTGTTTCTGCTATCTCTGATTTTAATTCCTTTCTTGGATAAGCATCTTCTATTGTAATTATGCATTTATCTTAGATATGTTTTCTTTTTTGATTGATAAAAGATATCTTAGATATCTTTTCAGGATTAAAATTGTTGTGGAATTTCTACAGGTGATGTATGATGCGACTGGAGTTAGACTTCATGCTGGTCGGCAAGCTGAAGTAAGACTACCTATTTCTTGAAAGGGCTTTTGTTCTTCTGTTGTCTAGCCTTTCTGATTTTTACATCCTTCCCTTTTTTTCTTCTATGAAAGTTACCATTTTCTCAAAAAAGAAAAATATGGAAAAAGTGACTATAGCAACTTGCATCTGACTTTCAGAAATAAATAATAAGAGTTTTGAATAACTTACCTAGTTCCAAGTAAATATGTAGAGAACATTGATGTGGGCCCTACAGCTGTGGTCCCACTCTGTTCGTAGGGTAGAATGTATTTAGTCACAGCTGTGGTTATTTTGCTATTCTGTTATTTCTAGTTTCAGTTTTATATTGTTTGTTATTTGTTAGCAGTTGTGATGTAAACACCAAGGGCAGATATGTCCTTTCATGTAATTAGCATAACCTATATATATATATTAACTTAAATTGGCGGCGGCAGAATATTGACATTCTGTTCTTCTCCTCAAAATCTGTGTTCTACTGCTCTTTCACCACTCTTTCTTCTACTTCTTCTTCACTTTCTCTTTTCATCGAACCTGAAATCTCTTAGTGGTCAAGACTGCTATTCAGTCTTGAAAACCTACAAAATACATAATACACATTGAGGTTGAGAACCTAATTTTTAGTTTTACATACAGTCATACACTCATTCGGTGTAAATTTTAGAGATATGCTTCTTGATTTTTCGTTCTAAAGAATCTTTACTTTTATTTGTGAATTTTGTTGTTGTCATCATTGTAATAATTATTTCTACCATTATTACTTATACTTTCTTTTTCCTTATGTTTGGGGGAGGGGGTTTTCAGTTCTCCAAATCAAATTCATATCTTCATGCAATGTTGAGATAGTATGCACCATACATTGGGTCCATGGGTAGATTCAAAACCACACCGTTTTAGGTTCTTCACTGGGTAATTACATTTTATTTTGATCTCACATAACAATTTTGGATTCATCAATTTATCCTATGCATCAAATAATACAAAATAAATCTATTATTGATCAAACAAAAAAAATACAAAATAAATCTATCTTCTCATGTGCATTTTGGATTAAGCTTTGATTCAGTGTTGTTTGGACAACTGACACATTTGATCCTGAAAGTCTCCATACTACTGTCAGAACTTTCTCCCGACTGATTTTTTCACATTAAGTTTTTTGTAGCCATAAAGGGAAACAACTAATTGTTTGTGGAACAACCTAACAATGCCTTCAACACCTGAAACTATCCTCAAGGGAACACTCATTGAACTTAATTTAAGTTCACTCAGCCTATGCATCACTCAAATGGCCACTATAATTTACTTTTAAGATATATGAAAAATCTCAACTAAATACAGGACAATTTGATTGAAATGGGGATGAATCTAGATAAATGAATCTTGCTTAAATTTCTTTTCAGGGAAAAAGCCGATATTATATAAAGCATTTATTTATTTTTTGCAGAAAGAGATTCACCATATGGTAGAACTCACAGTTTTAGTAGATATTCAAAATCACCAATAGAAGAAGGAATGGAACCACTAATATCCCTGAAGAAAAAATGTAAAACAAGATGATCGTTAAGCAAATTCCTGAGGTAGAATAAGAATATTCTAGATCATAGAGTACTGGCGGAACTCGTAGGTTTACAAAATACTTCAAGTCACCAAGGGAAGAAAGGATGGAGTCACTAATCCTGTTATTGGAAATATCCCTTAAGAAAAAAGTAAATTAAAATAATGGTTACGCAAATTTCAGTAGTAAGAACATTATAGAAAATTTAAAAGGAAATATTGAAGAATAAGAATAATGACAAAAAGTAAGGAGCTTCTTCTCTGGTTGCAAGAACTAAAAGCATCTTTGGATTTTGTTCAAAGTAAATAAACAAAAATTATAAATGGAAAAAACTAGCTATCAGAAAATAAAAACATAACACCTATAAATGGAAACTTTAGGTTTGCAAGAACTGTAATCTTCTTTTCATTTATTTCACAAAATATACATAAACAAAAATTATGAGTGGAAAAGGCCAGCTTTGAGAATCAACTGCCAAAAACTATAGTAGAACCTCAAAGATTTAGATCCTCAACTAAGTTTTACAAAGGATTGTAAAAGATATTTCCAAAATTATATCCATTTATTACAAGGAATAACACAACAAATCCCACTTGAGAAGTTGAGATCTACACACAATACACACAAATTTCAACTAAATGCACTCACTGATTTTTTGTGAGTGCATTTAGTTTTAGTAACACTTATTCAATTGTTGCAAAATAGCTACAATTAGTAGCTATTCTCATTATTTACCAAACTCATTTATTACAAATTTTGTTCTTTAATACTTATTCAATAATTACTCAGCTAAAGACATTTTTGGGGATATGTATATATATCCAAAATCTAAATCTAAATAAGAATAATACAAAGCAAGAAAAGTGAGATGAATAGCAAAGCCTCATACTTGAATCATCAAAGAAAATATTTGTAGCAAGATAACAAGATCAATACCAAAGTAACTCAAGGTGCTGAAAGTGCAGTAATACATCACCTTCATGCAGCATGCAAGCCCCATACAATCAACAGGAAGTATGCTTGTATGAAAAGTCTTCGTTAGATACAATACTTCAGCAGCCTCAAAATTATGGTAATATCATATGTGTAAATGGAAAGAACAATACCAATATCTCATAGACTTGCAAACAAAGCAAGGAGGGAAAAAGTAATCCCATAGATGACGCATCTAAAAAAAAATAATCCCATAGATTGGCATAGAGTGGACAAATTGAAGGGATGAGAGATCCATTGTATGGACGCCCAAAGATTGCGGAATAAGGGGGCGAATTTCAAAAATTTTTCTCTCCCTTCAAYTDGGAATCRCATTYYCTATTTAGAAAATCATATTTTCAAGGATCATTCTTGAACCATAAATTGAACCAGATCTGAACCAAAAGGAGTAGGAGATGATTATACCTGATACGGAGAAACGGTATCCCCCAACGAAGGTGTTCACGCCCAAGGAAGGATCCAAAGACTGCTCCCACTGAGATGGCGCAGTGCAGGATGGAGCAGAATCAACAGTGTTCTTCTCGAAGAACTCTGTCCTTCGCAAAAAATAGCAGGATGGCACGTGAGCACAACTTCCTATCAATTCTTCCTCCAAGAACTGATGTCAAGATCAAATCTTGATTTCAAACAGGGCGGCAAGAACAGGGAGGCGGCAAGAAAGAATTCTGCAAGGATGCTTAATTCTTCCTTCTTGATTTCAGCACTGAAGAGGATCTGAATATCTCATCCATCTAAAGGCTGCCGCCCCCTCCTTTTGTTAACCTAAAGGATCAGCTCCTAATCCCATTAGGAGCTGCTTATTCAAATCATATTTGGATCAGCCTTCTCTTCAGGTGATAAGGATAAACCCTTATCTTATCTACAGATTAGATTAGCTTTCTCTTAATCTCATTAGGAGGTTTTTAGATCTGAATCACATTAGATCTGGACTCTCTGAGTGGATAGGGTCTTACCCTATCCTATTTGCTAATCCATCTCAGAATTCGCCCCATTATTAACTAAATAAATAGCCCAGTTCGAAATGGGCTTTAGGCTTAGGCCCATTAAGCTTATGTTGCCCAGTTGGGCTTCCTTGTATGGCGTGGGACCCAAGCATTGATCTATACATCAGCCACATGGGTTCGGCCCAGCCTTTGTTACAAGGCCTGGCCGAATACACTGTTAAGGACAGTGCACCCCCTGAAACCCATCAAATGGGTTC